CCGGGTCCATAGCGTTGGGAAACTCCTTTGAAAGTCTTTGGATGTTTTGAGGTCTGGAAAGTCTTTGAGTTGTTTTTAAATTACAGGAAAAATAAAAAATCTTTCTCCAGGGAACTACCATATCCTCAGAACTTTGATGAGCTTTGGTGACGATGTTGGTCTGAATTAAGGGTCAAAATGTCTTGGTAAAAATGCAAGAAAGTTTGGGAAAAGGTCTGGAAAAGTCTTGGAAATCATTTGGCTCTTGGTGCTATGGACCCTGTATAAGAAACTATTTCATCATAAATAATATATAATGCAGGTTTCACATGCGAGAAAAATGTTGCTCAATTTGCTTTTTTTTCAAATCATCTCTTTATGAGGTCTAAATTTCTGTATTCTTACTGATTAACTATATACTGTGGTGCATTTGCCAGTTTTGTTCTTATGAATGTCATTTTCAAGGGATTGTAGTGTTATTTTTTGTAAATCATTTGTGATCTTGGAATATCGTTTGGGTATGTTGCTTATTTCTAATTTAATTGTTGAGTCACTTCTAGTTGAAAGAATGTATACATTATATGCATAACGCTTATGTAGGGTGGTAAAGAATGTATTATTTTGAAGTTAAGCAGTCACCAGTAGTTGTGTGTCTCTGCTTTGTATATCTTATCCATACATTACATTAACATATGATTGTCAATTATTGTACTGTTTACTTTAGGCTCTAAGGGATAGATCACAATCCATGTATGATGCCGCATATAGTGATGATCATGGTAGACAATTCTCTTATCTGACTGGTCACCAAACCAGGCACATCCATGATGACATTGACTTACAAATACCTCAGACTCACAATGCTGACTTCAGAAGACAATCGAGGTACAAATAATGAAATGCAGTCGTTTTTTTCAATGACAACAACAATCTATCAGAATTCAAATAAAAATCACCATCAGTAAACATTAAATTTTCATTGTTGACAAATCAAATGTTAAACCTCAAATCTGCAAAGTAGTTCTAATTCTATACGATATATCGTTGAATCGGCAATATAAAATCTTATTAAATAACTGGACACAGACTTCATGATGAAAACAAATCACATTCAATTTGAAAAATACATATCTGAAAATATTTCGAAATCAGCGAAAATATATAAATTATATTATATATTGATGATTATTTTATGATTGATGGCAATCATATGTTTAGAAGCATATCCAATGTTCTTGTTTTTTTTGTTTTTTTTGTATTTCAGATATGATTATTAAATGGATATTCTATTAGCTGGACCACAGTTGTTATGGACGTATATGATTTTTTTTTGAATTTTATTTGTTTTGTTTTTTGACTGAGATATTGAAAAGGAGAATTGAATTTCATTATTAACCCATGAAAGTGTAATCAGGAAGTAACACGTCAGATAAGTATATTACTATGCATTACAATTGAGTACGTATTGTATTCCAGTAATTAATAATTGACAGATGTTGCCACGTCTAGACAAAATTATAAACGACAAATAGTATGACTACGTGAGTACAACAACATCATTGATAAACTTGTGTTGCAATGCCTTTACATTGTATACGTTACCAATGATACACTTCAGCTGACTTATAAACTGTTGTTATTGGCATAATTGTGACGACAGTGACAACATTTGTTACAAACACTTGTTATATGTAATTTTTAAAATACATGGTACATAGTCAATATCAAAATCAGATGAATTACAAGGAAAACGAGTGTGCACCTAATGTCTTTCAACAACTCTTTTTATATTATCCAAGACTGTAATTATTCAGAGATTTGTTTTTACATTTTATTCAAGAAATAAACGATTTATATACATATAACTTTTCTGGTAAATGTTGTTATCAAACAGTTAATACTAATCAATGCATTTGGAATCGGAAATGACTAGCTCTATTGTTTATTAAACAATTATTGTAAAGGATGACATAATATCCCGCGAACAAAATTACCATTAGAATATTTAAGCAATAACCCCCGCCGAAGGCGGGTATACCACGAGATATTGCACAATTCACGACATATATGCACGAGCCGCAGGCGAGTGCATATATGGAGTGAATTGTGCATATCAGTGGTATACCCAACTTCGGCGGG